GGTGTGCAGGGCAGGACCCCGCACACGCGGAGCTGGCCGAAGGGTCTGGGGGATCGACCGCTGGGCTGGGCAGCCTGTGCTGCTCCGAGGGCTCCTGCACATTTCTGGTTAAGGCAGCATCTGCTGAAACTTAGAGAGCGAAGCTTTCGAAGAGCACCCTCCTTCACTGCTGTGCAACTCTGCCTGCATTCAGGTGAAATCGCCTCGGTTTCTCTTGGTGAGCAAATGAATGAAAGTTGGGTGGCTTCTTGGACTTGGCAAATCTTAATGGGAAGGTAATGCTGTCCTTTACTGAATATTCATGAGGAACTAATTTGTGCTCATGTTTCCAGATTGTGCTTCGGTCTGAGTGGTTTTTTTGTGTTGTTTTTTGTCTTGGCTTGCTCTTTTCGACAGCCAACAAGCTGTTAGAAGCCTTGACTTGACAGTCGGGAGGGATTTGTAGTTCATCCTTCTGCTTTTCAGTTATATGTTAAATAGCTGGAGTGGGAAATGATTGACAAGCCCCCTTTTAGTGGCCAGAAATGCCGTTCTGCGCTGCACTCCTTTCCGCACAGCAGCAGTTCTGCGGCAGCGAGCCGTGCTCTGCACACTTCGATCCTGGCTGTCATTCCTGATCCCCTCGATCCCCAGGGAGAGCTCGACACTCCGTACCCCTGGCACAGCTGCGTGCCCCTGCCTGCCCGTGGGCGCTGGCAGAGGAGGATGCGCTCCCCGGAGGAGTTGCTCTCTGGCCTCCAAGCTCCTCCTGCAGAAAAATCTCTTCCGTTCCTTCCGCAGGCTTTTTCTTTCTTCTCACCTGCCCTCTCCACTGCAGAGATGACCCTCTGCCACGGGACGGGCCCTGCCTTCCTGCAGGGTGCTGCCCATGCAAGCTGGAGGCAGAGCTGCTGTGTGGGTCCTGGCTCATGGTCTCCCCTGCAGTCATGGGCTCACGATCCTGTGGCCATCTGCACGGGCACCGTGGCCACCCACAACTCCTGGTCCCCCACTACGGGCTCATGGTCCTGTGATCGTCTGTGTGGGCACCACCACCACTCCCAGCAACATCACCTCTCCTAGGGATGAGATGCTCATCCCGCCAGGAGCCATGTGCTCCCAGACTGCTGCATCCAGAGGCGCATCCCCATGCCCCCCAGGCACCGTCTCTGGCTGTGTTGAGAGACCACCTCTGCGTGCCACCTCCGTGGGGATAGCTCGGCTCTTGTTGGTTGGGTTCGGAACTGGCTTTCCATCACCCAGGGCTTTTGGGACCTGCTGCTGGCATAGTCATCCTCTCTGAGATGCAAGAAGCCGGCAGCAGGAGAGATGTGAGCTACAGACCTGCAGCGCTGCATCAGCTGCCGGTGCTCTTGGTGCAGCTGTGTTTCACGGCGACCTTGGGGTTTGGTGATTCTTCATTACAGAAATGAAAACAAGCCTGGGTTCCTGGCTGCGTTAGACATGGCATCTAATGGCACAGGCAGACAATCCCGAAGTGTGACCTTACAGATGTGGTAATTGCTGCTTCACAAACGCTTTTGCTTCTCTGGGTTTGGATTTACTTATCAGGGGTGTTAGTCACGAGGGTGGTGTTTTGTTTTGACAGTCCTTCCTGGCATCGGCTCTGCAGCTGCAAATCTGCTTAAATTAGGTTTCACCCTTGGAGGACTCTTGGCTCCTCTGGATTTGATAGGGATCTCTTTTTATTCTGAGGCATGAATTTGCTAACGCAGAGTTACAGTATCCCCAATATTGCAGAGGATGATACCAGAAGATATACTTCACTTAGGGACTTTGTAATTACAAGGTCTCTGTAGGGCAGTAGGTGTAATTACTGGGGTAAAAAGGTTTGCTGGTCTAAGCCTGCCCTACTCCAGGCGGTTAAATATAAGCAGGGATATTCAAGTTGGTGCCTCTGCATTTTTCCATAGTAATTGTGCTTTCACAATAGCAATGTGCAAGGATTAGAGAAACAGGACTCTCTTGTGGGGTGAGAAATCCTTTTCATAGGAAGGCAGCTGGCAGTAGCGCTTGTCCGCCCTTTATCGGAGGTGCCTCTAAGGAACTGGTGTCCACCAACACGAGCCTGGGTGCTGATGGCAAGCTGCTCCTCCAGCAAAGGCCGAGATGGCTATTGCCAGGAGATCTGGCCCGGTTGTTGCACGTGAGTGCCTTTCCCTTCTCTGAGAGCTGCTACCCACGATGGGTAACGTGGGGAGCTGTGCAAGCTTCACGTGCTCCACTGAACAACCTACGAGTGTCTCCCTAGGTGTGCCCACCAGAAAATAACCTTCCATCTTCCAGAGGCAATACAGCATTAGCTGCTGCGAGCAAGGGGCTGAGAAGAAAGCAGGCGGTTCGGTGGGGGCTGACCGTGCTGGACCAAAGTACCGGTTTGGCTCAAAACACCGCAGGCATCCTGCTGTGTAGGACATCCCGCTAGACAGACTGAATATTCCATGCAAGTGGAATGGGGAAGCAAAACTGCATGGCTGAAGAACCGACTAAAGAAAGAGAAAGGACTTTATTTAGGAAACGCAGCTTGAAACTTTGCAGTCGCTAATATCCACCAGTCTGGCAGAGTCTATCTGTGTGTTTGCTGCTTCATGAATTTCTGAATGGGGGCAAGAGAATAGGATTTCAGGGCTTTTAGGAGATAGTTGTTGAAAGATACCATTAATTCCACAGGAGGCTGGGATTTCCTAAGTCTGCTTTCCACTTTCTTGAGCTTTCAAAAGCTAGACAGAGGATTTGGGCATCCTATCCATACCCTGTAGTATATATATGCTAGTCCTCAGCTGCTCGGACCTGGCATTGAGGCTGCTACCAGGCTGGAATTTCCTTATTTTAGCAATTTAACTGCCTCTCAGCAGTCACTGATGGCTCAGTTACCATCTGATGTGGGTATTTGTCAACCTGGCTTCTACTCCTGGTTGTTTCTCGATTGCTGCAGTCCTCTGGTTTCACAGTCATTGTAAGGTGTAAGCAAACAGCCTGGTCCTCAGCTCCTCCCTGCGTTCTCTCTGGGCTTCATTCTCAGATGTCTCCTTTTGCTCTCATTTTAGACATTTACTCTTTCAGGTTTGCCAGTGCAAATAACTGGTTTTGTTATAGTGGTTCCTTCACAAAGTCTTTTTTTCGTAACGAATCGGTCCACACTTTGTGTTTGCCTGCCTGTGGTGGGCACGTTTGAGATGTACAGTAGGTGGGTAAGAACCAGACCATCTGCAGGAGACCTCCAAGAGGCGAAGTCTTCACGCTGTGCGTTGTATAACAACTGCGTTTGAGGCAGCATTCCCCTGGGCTGGATTCAGGCTGGGCGCTATGCAGAAAACTTGTGTAAGTTTTGACTGCAAAATTCGTGATCTCTCTTTCCACCACTGCTAGTAAAGAGATGAGGACTTCCCTCCCACATGTTGACCTTCCAGTCTTCTGCTTTCATTCTGATACTCTTCAGAATCGCATGATAAAAGCTTCAAAGCAGAAAATTACCAAACGCCTAACAAATCTTTTCTTATCCCGGACATGTCTTTGACATTAAAGTATTTGCCCAGTTATTTCTGAACTATATGAACCGCAGAGTAGGAAATGGTGAGTAGGTTTTTTGATGTATTAGTATGCCTCAAGTTTACTTGACATTGAAGAGATTGAGAGGGGGAACAATACCTCGTTGGTGGGGCTTTCGCCACAGTGCTAACATGACAAAATACTTCAAGTGCCTCTGACACAAAGTATTGCCAGAGCGTGGTCGAGGCGTAACTAAATCCAGTGTAGGCAACGGACTGTGAAAGCAGAGCAAATGGAAAATGGCCTCCTGTTTGGGTTGGGTTGCCCAGAACTTTTTTCCATGGGAATACCAAATTGCACAAAAGATCTTGGTGTTGTTGCATATTCTTATCTGGAAAATGCCAATAACTGGTTCTACTTCAACTCTTGCACCTACAGGAAAGAAAGAAAAAGTTTGAGAAGGATGGTGAGAAGTTTTATTCTATGCTGGATCGCCATTTACATTTGTCTTCCAAAAAGAAGGAATCCCAATTACAGGAGGTGTGTATGGAGTTTTCTTCACAGTTGGGTCCAGAAGCAACACCACCAGATGCTCTAGATCTTAAAAAGGGGGGGAAAATAGTCCCTTTTGGTAACCAGTTGAAACTGATAAGCAATTAAATCTACCTCAGGCCGGTTCACATGGATGAGACCAGGAATATCGAGGTGGTAGTTCACTGTACAGTGTCACGTGGCAATAGTGGCTTTATGCGTGGTCATCGCTTGTTGTCACCCTTACAGTGAAGGGCAGTGACCAGTTATACTGGCGCAGTTGGGAATTGACCACCCTTTGAACTGGCTTGGGGAACCGATCTGGCTGAAAACTAACTGGTTATTATTATTTTTGCCAGCCCAGTTTCCTGCCTCGCTCCGGGTGTTGGCAGGGGCGGTTGTGGGAGCAGGTCGGCGGTGGCAGTGGGCAGGGGGCGGAGGAGCGAGGTGCCCCTTCCAGCTGATGCTGCTGCCAAATGTGTTGCCACAAGAAAGCAAAGCCCCAGCTGTTCCAGCCCACATCAGAGTAGCTGGGTCAAATCAAATCTGTCAAACCAGTTGTCTGATCAACCTACAAGCATCTTTGCAAGGCAAAATTTGTGTAAGCTGTGGTAACACAGCATGCCAAGTTGTCCTACCTGGTGCTGCAGCTCTGGAATTGCTGGTTTCGGGTCAGGCAAGAGGATTGTGATGGTGGCCTTGTCCTGCCCGATGTAGAGCTGTAGGTGGAGAAGGAGCTTATGCTAAAATAACAAATATGCTTTGGGAAAGCTTTGTCCTTACAGCGTGGAGTGAGGTTTTGGATCCATAAATGAAAGGGAGTCAGAAAAGGGCAGACCTGAGAAGAATGGCCAATATTCTAGTCTTCTGGTTCTGTGCAGAGTGTTCAAAACCTGGGCTGGACACCTTTGACAGGCTTGTTCTTAAGTGAGGACAGAACTATTTGTGGGCTGACAGACAAATGCTAGTCAAATACTGTCAAGCTAGGTGTGATGTATTTTCTTTTTTCACCTCTCCCTCTTTCTTCCAGGCTGACCTTCAGGTTGACAAAGAGAGACACAATTTCTTTGAGTCCTCCCTCGAGTATGTGTACCAGATCCAGGAAGTACAAGAAAGCAAGAAATTCAGTATTGTTGAACCGGTAGGAGCTTCGTTTTCTTTCAGGCCTTGTTGTTTGATGCTCAGATATGCTGACTTGCTGACAGTCACAGGAAGGGATGAGTTACCAGGTTGGATTTGGTCCTGGGGAGTCTTGTGGTGGAGCAGGAGTTAACCTTGCACACTTGAATTGCTGCAGCTTAACAGCTGTAGTGGTGTTTGCTGGAGCACCATGAAGTCACAAACTTGTTTCTCAGGTCTGTAAGTCGATCCTGAGGAACAGGCTGGACACTGTAGGTAGCTCGAGGTCTTGTTATCAATTATCTTGGACACCTTGTTCTTGGTAAGCGTTAGCTGTCTTCAGAGGGAGAGAGTTGTTACCTGGTCTGCTTGCCTGTCATGGCACAGGCTGCAGTGGTATCAGCTCATGGCTGTGTACAGGGACCCTGCCCTGGGTGGGTGGCTCTGCCCTGGCACCGGACGCAGTTGAGCGTGGGATCGTGTAGGTCTCCTGGACAAGCAATCTGCAGATCTGCTCTTGTTCTCCCAGCAGGGTCTTTCATTTCGGGAGTGTTTTCTTAAGACAGATGTGTGGGTGGTAGACCTGGGCTTTAGGGACATTGTGGTGGATAAGTCATGCTAAGACTTGCATCATTCCAAAATTGTAAGTTAAAAAAAAATAATTCTGTATGTAATTTCTGAAACCTCTCTTCCTGTCTATCTTTGCTGTGACTAGAAAAATAGAAAAGTTTAATCTATGTCCTTTCCCTCCTTTGCAGGTGCTGGCTTTTCTCCACAGCCTCTTTACTTACAACAACCTGACAGTTGAGCTCACGCAGGATTTCCTCCCGTATAAACAGCAGCTTCAGCTCAGCCTGCAGAATGTGAGTTCCTGCCCAGCTGAAGTATTTTTTGCATGTGACTTCTATTCTCATTTGTATTTAAACGCCTCTGGTGGCAAGGCTTTTCCATGCAAAACAGCCTGTCCGTGTTTGCATTGTGGGAGGATGCCGGTAAAGTTATTTCCTTCTCAGTTCATGTGTATTTTCTCCTCTCTTGCACAAGAGAGCCTGCAGGTGCTATTACAGTGTTTTTCTCTGTCTAGAAGTGGCTATTGCAATTGTATCATTTCACCTTGTGCATAAACACGCCTGAGAATTTCTTCCAATTTCATGAGATCGAAATTGTACACGTCTTCTAAAAAGGCCTCCAATCTCGATCTTAATGGTGTTGGTTTACTACATGCTTTGGTAAGCTCCTGCACTCGCTAAGTATACTCATGGGGTGAAATATCTGTGTCCTGTTTCTTTTATCCTCAGTCTTTCGTGGCTGGCCCTCATTCCTGTGGAACAACAGCCATACATCTGTGCCAAGCCAAATTTGCTGCTGGCTTGTTAATTGGTCTAAGTGTGTTCTGTAAAAATGCCCTGGTTTTGTACCCTGTGTTGATGTGAGTCTTTAAAAATTATTTCATGCCAAGCAGCGTAGCGTGATCTTTTGAGGAATCAATGCCTCGGTTTTATAGGAGAATACGCCCATTGCCTAAACAATGGTGCGAAGAGGAGTTCAGGTGCTTCCTTCTGCTCCACCTAGCCTTAAAATGTGCAAAGTTTCTTTTATTGAAAGAACAAGTGTCCTCCCAGTCATGACTCCTCAACACCATGTCCATGCACGGTATGTTAAACCTTGTCTCTTCAATCATCTTTAAGAGTCCTGTTGTTCTTATGGCTGGAGATTTTATGTGAATTTGTGGAGTGACTTCTGCATTTTGTACATTGGGAACTGATTTGTTTCTGCCAGAGCACCTAAAATTTGACCAGGAATACCTGAAGCTTACTCTTTGCTCCTGTTCAGACTTGCTTCTTTTTGTTTTCTCTTAACAGACAAGGAATCATTTTTCCAGCACGCGGGAGGAGCTGGAAGACCTGAAGAAGAGGATGAAGGAAGCCCCCCTAACCTGCAAGCTACCTGGGCAGCCGACCATTGAGGGCTACCTGTACACTCAGGAGAAATGTAATGGCTTTTACATGCACCTGAATACGTTAAAGAATGTATAAGCCTTTACGGGCGCTGCCCTGCTCATAGCCCCGCTGCATGGGCTGCGCTCGGGTCCCGTGCCCAGGTCAGCTTTAGCTGCAGCATCGCTGTGGGCTGTGTCACCACCTGCCACTGCGCAGGGTGCCTGGGGCATCACCAGCAACTTTAGCTGCCAGCTTTCTCAGCAGTGGCACAGAGCTTTCTCTGGGTTACATGAGCCGTGTAAGCAAGGAGCTAATTGCCCTGCGCTCAAATTAGATGAGATTTATTACTCCGTTGTAGTGCTGGAGAGATTGGAGCTCTGGCAGATTGCACCTTGGCTGCGTTTTATCAGAACAAATCTGGTGTCCTGCCCAGCTTCCCTCTCGCAGCGTCTCTGAGGGCATCTGAGCACAGCTGAAGTGTTAACCGATGCTGAGAGTTAGGCTGCTGAGAGCGAAACTTGTTGTGATTCCATGCAGAATCAAATCAAACCAAATTCAGTCTTTTACAAATACTCGCTGTAGCTTTCATGGCCACGCAAGCATGAGCACTCGGGACAAAAGGCTGTATGCAGAGCTGTGGCCTCTGAGTCTACAGGCAACTTACTTTGCGAGCAGTTAATTTTTGGATTATATATACAAATGTATTTATACCTATATTTGTATGTATGTTTATCCTACTGTTAAAAGAAAACATATAGACAGTAATTTTAGACCACAAACAAATGTTGCATGTTCCTGTATGCCAATGACTGTTTGCTGCCTCTATTTATGTGTCCCCTATAAATCAAGTAGGAAGAGAGTTGTTTCTCCTGACAACTGCAACTTAAAAACAAATTACAGAAAAAATATCTGTTGAAGTATTTCATATAAAGGGGTTCAGGTAAGACAAGAAAGAAAAGTGACAATGAATCTAGCATGATGTAAGTAGGAACTTTAGCATGTTTTAAAGATTCTGTTGTCTTTACTACCAAGTCTTCATCAACAGGGAAAAAATAGTGGTGTCTGTGTGAAACAAGCATTCAAGACACATAGAATCTTGCCAATGTAGATCTTGGCTGGACTTGACCAAACCAGCTTGGCTTGCGACCAGAGTCCCACAAACGCCCTTTCACCAGCAGCATTTTGGGAGGGTGCTGGAGGTGGCTGCTGCCCTGCGCTCCTCTCCTCCTCTCCTCCTCCTCTCCTCCTGGCTCTTGCCAGTGGAGGTGCCGGCCAGGGAGGTGTCTGTGCGAGGCCAGCAGTGTCTGTCCCCGGAGAAGCATGGACATGTAGGCGATGCCAAGCCTTGCTGGCTGCATCCAGCTAAGACGCTGCCTCTGATCCCACTTCCCGTGTGTTTCTGCAGGGGCGCTGGGCATCTCCTGGGTGAAATATTACTGCCAGTATGAAAAAGAAGCAAAAACCTTACGGATGACGCCCATGGACCAGAAGCCTGGTGCTAAGCAAGTGAGTTGGTTTCTTGGAGGGATGTCTGCAAACACTGACCCAGCCATCAGGTCTCGCCTTCAGTCTGCCCACGCCATCTCTTTCCGTAAGCAAAAAGACGTATAGGTGCCACGTCCAGGGCAGTGGAAGCCAGCCCGGCTGTCAGAAGTGGTTGTCTGGCAGCACCAGTGCTCAAGACATGCCGGCACGGCAAGTGGCCTGTGTCTTGAGCCAGCGGCTGCGGCTGTGGAAGGGCTCCTGGCCACCGAGCAGAGGGGTGGGCTTCGGGTCCCCTCCCTGCCCAGCCGCACAGGCGGGGGGTTCGGTGCGACCTGAAAGCAGCACCTATGTGACGAGAAGTTTCACCTCTCTCTCTCGCAGATGACCTGAAGCCCTGCAGGGTCTGGCAGCTGAGATGTGGGTTTGTGTAACGTGAGGGTTAGTTGGACAGTGGTGACTTGCAAGTTTGGTCTAGTGTGAAATTTCTGCCTTTCTCAACAAGCTAATTTTTGTATTTCTCCATGCACATGGGTAGTGAACCTGCAGCCTGGTTTGCATGTAGCCCTCTGGCAGTGATTGCAAGTACTTGAATTACTGGAGTTATTAGATGGGTGCTTCCAAAAGCAGTATTTCTCTGTCTTTGCATGTTCACACAGTCACTGGTTTGTGATTTTGGTTTCTTTTCTAAGAACTGGTCCCATGTGAGTGGGACCGGCATTAGGAAGAGAGGACAGCAGTTGGAGCTCTAAACTGCAACAGGGCAATGATTTGGGGAACTGCTGCTTTCACAAAATGCTTTGGTTTTTACCGATGTGTCTGGGAATTCCCTGCAGTTCCTCAGCGTGGCAGAGGAGGGGTAGGATGCAGGCGTGGATGACGGGAGTACAGCAAGTGCATCCAGCCAAGTCCACCCGCCCTCCTCTGCCATGGAGCGATGTCCCCCGGGGACTTCCCAGTCAGGCGTGCTATTCTCCAGTTCGTGATCTCATAGTCTGTTCTTTGGCAGCCCTCTGCACGCTGCAGCAGTAACGTAAAACGTATTTTTTGGAAGTCTTTGGTAGAGGCCTTGGCCAAGAAGTGTCCAAGCTATTGACTGGAGAAGTCTATTGTCATCTATGTCATAAACATGTTTAGTAAGGCCAATTAATGCAGGTAGGGGCTTGTAAAAATGTATATTAGTCCCCTTCCCATACTCTTGCAATCTGGTATTCTTCACCTTTGGGTCACAGCTGGCCACACAACTTCAAATGCCATGATTACAAGCAATGCTCTTAAAAACCTGAACAACCCACACACGCGCAAAACCCAGCCAGGAGATTATTGTCACAGCGTGTCAGGCGGACGTCATCTTGGGGGAGGTTGTCCTTGCCGCCGGGCTGTCCCAGATCTGCTTGATCCGCTTCTGTCAGAGGTCTGGCAGACATAGCGGCAGTAACAGTCGGGGTGATTAACGTGTTCCAGGCTTGCACACTCAACCCTAGGGTCTGGCTGGTTGTAAGGTCTCCTGAGGGTCTCTTCAGAGTTCCTACAAAGTCGTGGAGGTCTCACGATCACATTACACATTGACTCTGCGGTGGAGTACGGGGGCATGAACGCAAAGGGCCAGAGCTCAGCCCTGCGGTGCCGACCTCTCTTCAGAGCACGCCTGCTCTAGGTTTGATCAGTTAGCATTCCTTTTCTACAGGGTATTTTCTGTAAAGCAGTTTGGGCCATGAATGCTATGGATAATTGGTAGTGCTGATCTGCCCTGATAAAAATTAGGACCCAGCTGTGTCAGATAACAGACAAGCATGGTCCTGGCCTCAGAGACCAAGCGACCGCCTCAGGAGGTTCGTTTAGAGCAGCGTTCCTGCTCCGTGGAGGCACATTGCTGGTTGCTGAGGTATTCAGTACTCAGTTGCAGGGTGGTGCTGTGAAGTCCAAAACGTTTTGTGGCTGGGGAGAGGAAGCCTGGCTCACAAAGCCCTTTGATCTCTGATGGGGGGAAGGATGGTCTGTGCTCCTGGGTACCGATGCCATCGGACTGGCAGGGCACCGGCTGGCAGCCTGGTGCTCTCTGAGCAGTGCCGTGCTGGGCTGCAGCCTAAGGGTGCTGAGGAACCTGAAATCTTCTCCTGTGTTTCTTTCCTCTAAGCTTGGCTTTCATCTTCTCTCCTAGGGCACCTTAGACCTGACACTGAAATCCTGCGTAAGGAGAAAGACTGACTCCATAGACAAAAGGTTTTGTTTTGACATTGAAACTAATGAAAGGTGAGATGCTTAGTCTTCAAATGGCCTCAAAGCCCTGGAAACCTGGATGAAATCGCTCTTTGCTGTTTACTAAAACCAACTTGTGCTTCATTTTCCTGCCTGTCCCTGGGTGAACCCTGCGCAGGTCTGGGACCATCACGCTGCAAGCGCTCTCGGAAGCCAACCGCCGGCTGTGGATGGAAGCCATGGACGGGAAGGAGCCGGTAGGTGTTCAGGGAGCTGCCGCCCGGCCACGAATGCGCTGCCGAGCAGTGTCCTCTGCCGGTGGGTCCCGGGGAGGAGCGGGGCCACAGCTGCTGCCAGGCTCCGTTTTCCAGCCCACGCTTCCCTCCCGGTGCTTACCCGTAATTCGGCATCAACTTGGCCGCTGCGCGATGAAATGGGGCTTCGTCCCGTTCTGCTCACCGCACAGCTGGCAACGGGGATTTTGGTTTTCCCTCATTAAAGCTCTGGTACGTTCCCTAGTTGGACCAGACTGCGTGAGGACTGTGGCCTTACTGAGTCTGGAACGCTCCCTATTTCTGTTTTTCACAACTTGCTCTCCAACCTGTGGGAGATAATTTTTTTTTTTTCTTTTTTTGCCTATCCCCGCTCTGAGCAGCGTTGGGAAAGGTGGGAGCATCCACCCTGCACCAGTGTTCGCCCGCCTTTCTGTGCCTCCTGGGGTTCCCTTCCTTCAGTCGAAGCAAAGCACGGACTCCTGCGTTTTACCGAATTTCCTCTAAATGGACAGCGTGATGTCCAGTGCAGGAAAACCCGTTTCTGGCCGCTCCCCTTGTCTTTGGAGAGCTGCCTTTCCCTCGGTGGGCTGGGCGAAGAGGGTTGGCAGTGAGTGCGCTGGGGGTGGCTCAGGGCTGTGTGGCTGCTGCTGCAGAGGTGGGATGTGGGAGCGGGGAGGTGGGAGATGGGCACCCTCCGCAGCACTCTTCTCCTACCCATTTAAATGGGAAAGGACATGGGACAGCGCGGAGAGGGTCAGTGTGCTCGTGCTGGACAGCCAGTCGCTTAGGGGATGTCTGGGGCTCACTCGTTTGTGTGACATGTTATATAGGTATAAAGACTTTTTGATTTTCTATCAAGAATGGCACCTGCTGTTTATTATTAATAAAAAAAAGACAAAATTTATTTTTGTGGGGGATGTAGGAGTGTTTTCGAACTTGAATTTTTAAAAGCAAGCAAACAAACAAAAAACCCACAACCCCTGTGTGCCAGACTGTCCAGCTGCCATTTTTACAGGGCACCTAAAGGACAAACAAAGTTTCCTCTTCAGTTTTTGGAAGACCTCTTCCCTAGAAATAGGTCCTCCAGTGAAATGTAGGAAGTCAGGAAAAACTCATTTATTGTGTAGATGATGGTATCTTGCTTAATTATAAAATGACATTTCTTTGGAACGTTGTTTTACTGTTTGTGATTGGCTTTGGGTCATTTATGGGGTGCTGCATTTTCTTCCGAAAATAAATATTGAATCATATTGCATTATGTTTTTGTTTCTTCCTCCTCCATTCCCTCCCCTTTTTCAGATCTACCACAGTCCCATCACGAAACAGGAAGAAAGTGAGTCATTTCTGTTGCTGTTCCTCTGAGCTGTCGAAGCTGTCCGGAGCTCGGGCAGTTTATTTCCTTGCAGACACACTCATCCTCGATTTCTGCTGAGTAGGCTGTGTACTCCCTCTGTGGCAGCGGTGTAACTTCTTTCCTTGTCATCACAGTGTCTCATACTGAGGCCAGATAAGAATGAGTTGCAAACGGTAAAAGTTATCAGTTGAAATGTGCTGGTTTTTGTTAGCCAGAACTAGCGGGATGCGGAGTTCAATTTGCACCTCTCAACCCCAAAGTAACAGAGGAGGAAAAAAGATCAGTGAGAGATTTTGAGGACATTTCCCTTAGCAAAGATTATAATAGAAAAATAGAGGTGGCATTTAGTTCCCTGGAGCTCCCAGCCCAGCCCTGTGTGCCACGTCCCCCCTTTCACGAGCGGGGTGTCCCCTACGCCCAACCTGCCCTGCCCTGCCTGAGGTGCTGCCGTGGAAAACTCCGGGGCTTCATTGGCTGGGTGAAAACTTGCATTCTGTATCTTAGAGCTTACTTTTGTCAGCCCTTTAATTAGCTGACACTAATGAGCGTAGAGGTAGCATTATCAGAGGCGTAAGCATGAAACCTGTTGTTTGACTGTGTTTGCATTACACACTCGGGAAGAATGTGACTGGGTGTTTCACCAAAGTGAAGACACTCTATTTTTAGTAGATTAGAGCTAGAAAGACTTCAAGTCGTATCATACTACTCAGTGTCAAGTACCAAGTGTATCTGTGCGTAAGGGTGTTTACTCATTCCTATGTTAGAGCTAAGGTACATCTGAGCTTTTCATCACTGTTGCTCAGAGAAAGGAGAATTGTTATAAACAACTTGCTGAAAATACAGTGATTTCGTAGGATTTGCCAACATGGCATGTGCTGTGATTGGAGTTGGTCCAGATGTGTCCTGTGGCTGGTTTTTCCAGCAAAATGTAATTTTATGTTAAAAAGAGAAACAAAAAACCCAACACCCCCACTCCCCCCAAATAACCCAAACCCAAAAAATTCCAAACCAACAAGAGCAGGGTCATTTAGGAGAAATTCAGTATGAATATTTGCACTGAACAGAAAGATATTTCACATTATAACTTGGACAATCCTTCCAGACATCCCGGAAAACTAGCAGAAGTAGTAGTATGATTACAGAAGTTGAAATCTGTGTATAGAAAAAAAAAATCCTGACTTTCTACCTGCTTCGTGATGCCTGCAAGACAGGCACGAAGATAGTCTGTGGTTAATTGGCTGGAACAAAAACCCGTGTTCTGCTTTACTCAGCATATCAAGCTGTATTGTTTTTGCTTTTTAATCTAGTCAAGTAGATAAGCAGAAATTACATGATCCTATGATGTGGAAGAACTTTAACTGCAGATTTTGCAGTCCTCTGGAAATGATTAATCAACTCCTTATCAGGCACAAATTCACATGTGGCGGGATGCTGATTTATGCTTTTATTATTAAAGACAGAAAGGGGGTAGGGAGCAATACTGTAACTCAAAATAAATTAAAGGAAAAATGGAGAACATGTGGAACTAATAATTCCTTGTCAGGATTTAAAGAAAGCCTGTGTTTTCATGGGGGGATGTACAGGATGCAGATGCCCGTGTGAACCCGGCTGTGTGCTGGGGCACTGCAGCTTCGTGTGCCGAGCAGGGTCTGGGTCTGAAGCTTTCCCGGTAGTTTTCCACCGGGAGCCAAGTGCTGGTGCTCTAGCAGCTGACACGGCTTCCCTTGTTTGAAACAGTGGAGCTGAACGAGGTCGGCTTCAAGTTTGTACGGAAGTGCATCAACGCAGTGGAAACGAAAGGTAAGGTGCTGGCCCTGGCATCGGGAGGTGCCGCCGTCCTGGCGTTACTTCCCCTGACCTTGAATTATATTGCATTTTCTGTAGTGTAGTGTTGTTAGTCAATGAAACGAGACTTTGACTTTTAGCTGAAGAACGCACATCAGAGGAGCAGAAATCCTGTGCGGTCCAGAATGTCATTATGCCAAATTCGGTTAGGACTCAATTTCTACCTTTATGCTGTTTTCATTCCTCGGTTCCTCCTCTCTGGCTCTGAGGAAACTCACTGTTAGGCAGGAGATCAGCTCTGGAAGTCTCTCTGAGCTGGGGGGACAGGCAGGGGTTAACTGGGGTACAGGGTTGTTCAGACCCCGTTTGTTCAAAGCAGCAGGACAGAAGCAGGCTGATGGATGATAGCTGACCCCCAGTCTTTCCTGAAACGCCCAGCCTGTCCAGCGTACGACGTCCAGCCTGGGCTGTAGGATGCAGACGAATGGCTCCGGCACAGCTGGCTCCCCAGGCTGCCGCAGGGAGAGGTGGCTGGGTTCATTTCCAGGGCCTTCGGGGGACGTGGCCGGCCAAGCCCTGCTGGAATGGGGAGGAGTGGGATAATGAGACCCTCCTCGCAGAGCCGGGCAAATACAGCAGTTCTGCCTTTCCTAACGTTGGCTAATATTTTCAGAGAATCTGCTTAAATGTGTTTGCCTTCTGTGACAATTTGAACAAACTCATGTTACAGCAGCGCTCTCCCGAAATGGTGCATTTAGGCAGGTAGGGCCAGGTCCACGTCCCGGCTGTGCTGGTGGCCGTGGGCAAGCGGAGCGCCC